TGCAGAGTATAATGAGGATTTTCCCGTGGGCAGGAAGGGCTGGTGGAGGTGGGCAAGAACTCCTGGGAATCAGGGCTGCTCCCTCCCCCCAGCTGATTTCTGATCCCGTTTCTAGGTAAATATTTGGCGGATAACTGATGGAAGCTTATGCAAGTCCATGGAAAATACTATGGAAAATACCCAAGGACTGCTGTGCGTGGAACGGGTTTTAATTACAGTTTAAGGAAAATGAACTAAATCCTGCACTCGGGACATTTCTGTTGGAAGTGTCGACAACTTTCAGCATTTTTTTTCCTTGGAAAACACCGTCTTGACCAGTCCTCCAGTATTTACTTCTAGATGTAACATTGTTAATGGTTTTAAAATGTAATTATTGTATTTGTAAATTGTACTCATTCCAGTAAGGCTGTATTTTGGCAGTTAGACACTTGAGTTTTAGCATTTTACCATTCATGAAATGGATGTAATTTAAACTGTGGTATATAAATCTAATAGTAGTACTGTTGAATGGCACAATGCTTACAGAGGTAGATTGCATTTTGTCAATATATACAATTTAAATACGATACTGGTAGCTGTTATGAAGGGGGTGCCTCATCAAAAGAGAGTTCAGTAGGGCCCACAGGCTGATTTAATTTTCCTTCAGTCCTTCGTACGTCTCACAGCAATCAATAAAAACCTTCAGGTTTAGCTGGTTTAACTCCAGCTAAACCTGATATTTAAGAAAAATATCCTTGGAAAGGTGGAGGTTCCTAGGACATTCTCCCAGGAAAGAAATCTCACTTCTGCAAGGAGTATTGACTCCCAATTTCCAGCTCTGTGTTCTGTTACAGCTGCAGATTCCCTGTTGGAATCCCAGCAGCCCTTCCCTGCCCCGTGCCCAGGTATTTTGCAGGGATGCAGATGAGGAAAGAAGCAGCAAAGAGGCTGGGTGGTCCCTCTGAGCTCCCAGCACTGGCACAAAATGTCTCTGCTGGGATCAAGGATGTGTTTTCCGAGCTGCCTCCGGATGTTCCGTTGTGTTTTTACGTTGCTTTGCTGGCTTTTTTCTGCCTTTCTCCCCCATTTTTGAAAGCTCTACGGGTTTAGAAAATGCTTTAAAGGATTGCAGCCCCACCTGCTTCTCTGTTTCAGCACTGAGGCAGGGAAATGTGTATGGAAAAACACTGGGAAAGGATTCCCCGGGGAGCAGGAGCAGCCAGGGCAGGAGCCCAGCTCACCAGCACTGGGAGCAGCTGTCTTGTAGAGACTGGAAAACACATGGAAGTGTTAAACTGGAGAATGGGGCACAAAACATTATCCCTCTGTGTTTTCCCTGTCCCGCTGTGTGAGTGCTGCTCATTGCTGTGGATCTCAGCCCACTCCTGGCAGCACGGTGGGAGCGTTGGTGGCGTTCATGTGCTGCAGCCGGGCTTGTGAAACGGGAGAATTTGAAAATTTGGGGAAGAAAAATGAAGGAACCTTTGTGAAATTAAACACAGATGCACAGAGGAGCATCCGTGAATGGCGTGCTGGGACTTTGGGAATGTGTAAGGTGACAAAAAGTGCTGGTTTTCCAGGTGTTGCCAGGATTGGAGTGGTGAATTTACACTGGAAAACAGCCTGGGCATGTTGGAAGCGCTCGCTCATGGAGCAGTTTGATGAAGGAAAACAGAGATCTGTGCCCGTCGTGAGAGAAAAGAAGGAAATGTGGGGATGTTTCAGGTGTGAGGTGGCTCCCAGGCTGAGATTTGGGGGGTGAGCTGTGTGTGAGTTGACAGAAGGCAGCAGCAGGAAAGGAAAAACACAGTTTGCTCCTGCAGCTTCCCACATCCTCACAGATTTTGGGAGTGCACTCCCCAGTGTTCCACTCCATGAATGATCTTCCCCCTGAACTGGAAATTTGTATAAAGTGTGCAGCTCACCCCTTTCTGACACAGAAATATAGGGGCAAACCCTAAGAATCAGGTTTATGGTGTGTACAATTGCTCCAAACCCATCCTTCCAAAAAAGTTCTATGGCATAGACCTGAAAAAAATGGATTTATAATGTAAATATTACCAGAACATAGAGATTTTACTTTATATTTCATTTGAAAGACAAGGTGTTTACATTAGCATTGGGTTTTTGAGTGCTTTTGAAACAGAAAAACCCATAACCCAAAGCTCCCAAGCTCACCCTGTTTGAGCTGGCGAACAAAACAGAGGTCAGTCACTTTGTGGGGACACAGCCCTCACGGCCTGGAGAGAGAGATGGGAACAGCCTGGGACATTTTGTCCTGTTTCTGGGACATGTGGGATGGGCCAGCAGTGCCAGCCCCACAGGGACACGGCTCCAGGTGACACCAGCCCTGTGACACTGGGACCAAAAGCAGCGATTTGGGACAGTTTTTCCACGCTGCTCTTGCCAGTTTTTGGCACAGGGTTTTCTCAGAGTGCCCTGGGGTTTGTTGGGAGCTTGGTGAGAGCTCCAGAGACCTGTAATGCTCAGGGCAATCAAGCTCTGCAGGCTTCACCTCGGCTTTTAGGAAGGAAAATCTGTCTATTTCAGGGAATTCATCTGTTTGGGGTTGCCTGGCCCCTCACAGAGAGGTGAAATGGCACTGGTTTGGTTTGATTCAGATCCCAGACTGGTTTGGGTGGGAAGGGATCTTAAAAATCATCCTTTTCCACCCTTGCCACGGCAGGGACACCTCCCACTGTCCCAGGCTGCTCCAGCCTGGCCTTGGGCACTACAGGGATCCAGGGGCAGCCACAGCAAATCTGGGAATTCTATTCCAGGGTCTCAGCACCCTGCCAGGAACAATTCCCAATTCCCAATCTCCCATCCATCCCTGGGAGCCATTCCCTGTGTGCTGTCCCTCCATCCCTGTCCCCAGCCCCTCTGCAGCTCTCCTGGAGCCCCTTCAGGCCCTGCCAGGGCTCTGAGCTCTCCCTGGATCCTTCTCCTCTCCAGGCTGGGCATTCCCAGCTCTCCCAGCCTGGCTCCAGCCCTGCAGCATTCCCAGGGGAAGCACCACAGCTCTGTTTCCCAGCAGGGCTTTTCCCAAGCCAGGCTGAGGCTGCAGAGGGGGCTCAGCCCCCTGGCACCCCAAGCTCAGCAGCACCAGGATCCATCTGGGTGAGCAGAATAACAAATAAAGGAGGCATTCAATCTTAAATATGTGAGTGCATGCACAGAGAGGCTTCAGCTCCATTCCTTCCGTGGGCATTTCCCTTCAGACTGTCCTCAGCAGCCTCTGCCAAAGGAATTTTCCCCTGGGAATTTGGCAGCCCCACACCTGCAGAGTCAAGGTCCCACTGGCAGAGCAGGAGTTTTTCCCCGTGGATACCTTCAGACTTGGAATCTTACGTGGTAGGAGCAGGAAGTCTTTTTTTACCACCTTTCTGCTGTTTGTTGCAAACAGTCACAATTCTCAGCCAGCTCATGGTGCTCCTCAAAGGAGACCTTTCAGAGCAGTTTCCTACTTTAACAATATTTCTTAATAACTCTGAAATCTCTCAATAGTAGTAAAAAACACCAAATATGAGCTTTTCACTTGGTGTCTACATTTGTTCTTAAATATCACTGCCCTGTTTACATCTTCTTGGTTTTGTTGTCATTCGCTATTCCAGTGAAATTAATTTGTCTTCACTCTGCACTTTCAGGTTTTATCTATCATTTTTTAAAACATAAGTGGGAAAAACCTGCAAGTTTCCATTGGAATGCCCTCCCTTTTTAGCCAGGCAGAGTGGGGATGGGAAGGGAAGGTACAGCCCCCCCTGCCACCCTTCCTGGGCTGCTCTCTGAGATCCCTCCAGCAGGAGCATCCTAAATAAAGAGTCACCACCTCTTTCTCCCAGCAGAAGCATTTTTCAATGGCTGGAGTGCACTGAAAAGGTGACAGATTTTTAATTTGCCTAAGAGAGAGTCAAACATTTTTTTTTTCCCTACCCTTTTGTGGTTTTTATGTGAAAATATATTGGTTAAAACCCCTAATTTTGAAGCTAGTCATGACCAAAATACGTAATGCCATCCTGTTGTACTTTCCAGGTTAGAAATTACTGTCTCAAAGATTTCATTTCATAGCCAGAATTCTTCTGTTCCTCTTTTCCTCACGATTTCCCAAGGAAATGAATCCGTGTAGAGCCAGGGAGGTTTTATGATAATCAGGATTATTCCAATCAGGATTTGAATTCTTTCACTGCAAGGAAAAGATTTGCAGGAATCCGCCCTGCTCCTGCCTGCCTTCCCTTGTCCCTTTGGGAGGCATGATGCTGCTGGCAGTGGTTCTTGGAGCATGAATTGATGGTGGGATGCTCTTCAAAGGCCTGGGGACAAGCAGGACGTGGTGGAACACACCAGATCCCAGCGAGGCTTTGGGGATGCCCGGTTCATCCATTAGAAATCCAGGTTTTCTGGGACAGCGGGAATCGTGGGTGTGCTGCCCCCATGTTGGGTTCCTCATCCATGCAGGAAGGGGTTTTTCACTCCCAAACGTCGTAAGGTTGATGAAATCCCCTAGATGCTTGGATGACATGAAACAAACGGAGATGTGGCGTGGTCTGAGCCAGGATTTGGGTTGGGATGTGCCAGGAAGCTCCCAGGGCTGGTGGGACAGCCCCACTGTGACACCCCAGCAGTGAATCAGATACCCCCAGGTATCACCCTGGACCACTTAATGAACTCCCTCGTGTATAAAATGTTTATAAATATTTGTGGATGAAGATACACAGGTCTATTTTTAAGATTTAAGTTAAATAAGTTAATGAATGGCTGGCCTTTTCTGCCTGAACGTGCAATGAGATATAATATACCTTTAGTCTACGATGGCCTAGGTACTGCTTAGTCTGTGATGAAAACTTTGCTGCTTTCCTACTGTTCTCAGAGAAAAAAAAGACAAACAACCTATAAAAGACGTACAGGTTTGTTGCACAGGGACTACTGCAGCGAAGCTTTGTATTTGACCACTGGTAATATGAATGTGTTGTATTGACTTGTTGAAGATAATCATGAAACAACATATTTTAAATGTTACTTGCCTTATAGATTAGAGTACGACTATGTGGATATCATTTTTGTAAATACTGTTTTTTATAAATGTCTCTCCTCCATCCTCCCCGTCACCGATTTCACCGACTCTCAAATATGCAATTATTTACCATGCAGAGCGTTGTGACAAAGAAATCCCCACGTCAGAACAAAGTTTATTCATCCTATACATAAGAACCACATGAAATACCCAACTGAGTTGCAATTTAAATGTGATTATTATTATTTTTTTCCTTGAAAATAAACAAAAAAATGTAAAACATTTCTTTTTCTGAGCCAGTTTTGCTTCCACGTGCAGGAGCACCCAGAGGAGCGGGCAGAGGGATTGAAGGCTGGGCCAAAAAAGGGTCCCTGTCCCAAAAAAGGGTCCCTGTCCCAAACCCCATCATTGCTGCTGGAGTTATGTGCAGTGTCCCAGCATGGGGGCAGGTCGAGGGTGGCATGTGGGGACACACAAGGATCCACAGGAACTGTGGGGATGGATGGAGCTTGAGGGAAAGAGGCTGTGGGGACATGAGGGATATGGGGTTGGGGGACACTTCAGGGCTGTGGGGACATGAGGGATTGGGGTTGGGGGACCTGTGGAGGTCATCATGGAGGGACCTGTGTTGCTTCAGGGCTGTGGGGACACAGGGGTTTGTGAGAATGCACAGGGATCACAGGAATCTGTGTGGGCTATTGGGACCCACGGGTGCCATAGGGACCCACATCTGGTGGGGCTGTGGGAACCCATGGGGGCCATGGGGACCTGAGGGGGTCACAGGGACCCTCAGGAGCCTTGAGAACATAAAAGAGCTGTGGGGACATGTGGGGACATTTGGAGGCTATAGGGCCACACGGAACCTTTAGGTTTATGTGGGGACATGTGGGAGCTGCGGGGATATGTGGAAATTGTTGGACCATGTAGGGACCTGTGGAAGCCGTGGGGACAGAGAGGGATCTGGAAAAGCTCTAGGGATACATGGCAGCCATGGGAACCATGGGGACTGTAAAAGAATCCAGAGACCTGCGGAAAACATGGGGACATGCGGGAGCCATGGGAACCTGTGGGGACTGTAGGGACACACAAAAGCTGTAGGGACACCAGGGACTGCAGGAATACGTGGAAGCCATGGGGACTCACAGGGAGCTGCGAGGACACACAGGGACCGCTGGAAACTATGGGGAGCCGGGGGAACCGCAGGAACTCACAGCCGTGAGGGTGGGAATGGCGGGGCCGGGAACGTGGGGGGACGAGGCGGGGAACGGGAACACAGGGGGACAGAGGCCGGGGATGTGGGGAAATGGAAGCGAGGAACGGGAATACGGAGGCGGCGAACGGGAATGTGGGGGGATGTAGGCCGGGAATACGGAGGGTGGAGTCGGAGAACGGGAACGCGGCGGGCGGGCCCCGCTGCCGGCGCCGCCTCCCCTCACGCAGCTGAGGGCAATGGAGGGCGGTGAATCCCCCGCCGAGCCCGGCTCGGGTGGGTGTCGGTTGCCCCTCTAAAACCCTCCAGCGCTGCGAGATTGTTCCTTCCTAAACCCGGGCTTTGTCTCGCAGGGCCGGCCAGGCGCTTCCCGGTGGCGGCGGTGGAGGAGATCCTGAGGGATGTGCTGGGGAGCGCCCTGAGGGAGCAGCGCTACGAGCCGGGGCCGTGCCTGGAGGCGGCCAAGGACATCGCCGAGGTGCGACCGGGACGGGACACTTGTGCCTCCATGGGTGCCCCAAATGTCCCCCAAAATGGTGATAAAGTGTAAGATAAAGGCTGGAGGCGGTGTTAAGGTGCCGGCTGGGGTTGCTCAGAGGAGGGTGCAGACATATACGAGTTAGTTAATAGATTTACAGGCTGGTTTGAGTGGGGAGGGACCTTAAAGCTCATTCAACTTCAGGGACACCTCCCACTGTCCCAGGCTGCTCCAGCCCCAGTGTCCAGCCTGGCCTTGGGCAGTGCCAGGGATCCGGGGGCAGCCACAGCTGCTCTGGGCACCTGTGCCAGGGAACAATTCCTAATTCCCAATATCCCGTCCATCCCTGCCCTCTGGCAGTTCAACACCATTCCCCCTTGCCCTGCTGTAAATCCATCCCCATTTTTGAGCCCGTCTGGACTGAATCTGTTTCTTCCCGCAGGTAATTAAGGCGCGGGTCAAGGCGCTGGCGGTGCCCAGGTACAAGATCGTGGTGGTGGCACACATTGGGCAGCTGGGTGGGCAGAGCATGCAGATCAGCATCAGGTGCCTCTGGGATCCCAAGAGCGACACCTTTTCCTCCTGCGTGTTCAAGAACACCTCGCTGTTTGCTGTGGCAAATGTCTATGGTGTGTATTTTGAGTAGGGAGGTAGTAGAGTTTAGCAGCAGGAGAAATTAATGTTCAGCTTAACTCTTCCTGGCTCTGTTGTTGAAAATACCTGAGAAGGATCAAGGTACTCTCACCTGCTTTGAAATGTGAGCCTGTGGGTGAGTGGACTAAGGGTCTTTCAGGGGGTTTTCTCTGAGAAGTGGCTTTCTATGGCACAGTTTTGCAGCTGATTGCTGCTTTCAGAACTTGCTCTGTAGGGGAAATATTTTTAGAATTTTGCCTGTAAGTAATGTTTTCTCTGTTCTTCTCCAGGAAACATTACTGGAAGTATTTGGATTAGGGAATAAACCATGGGTTTTGCCTGCCCACTTTTGGGGCTGGTGCTGAGGGTCCTGAGTCTCTCCTGGTGCAGCCTTTCCCCACCCAGGTGGGGTCTGGCTCACCTTGCTCTGAATCTGAAACCACACTTTTTGCTACCCCTCTTTCCCAGCTGAAACCTGCTGTTAGGTTTTCCTGAGTGAGAGAACAAACCTATCACAAGCTGCTTATTTTATTACATTTTAGGGGCAAAGCTGAAACCAGAACAGTAGTTAGTTGGGAAGAAACATTTCATGTACTCATGACTAAAAGTTTAACTCACTGTAAACACTGTGAAATGCAGACACTCTGAAGCCACTTTGCTGGTGTGCACTGTGACATTTAACACCCAAAACTACAATTAAAGAACACAACTGAAAGGACTGTGGTTTCTGTCATGGTTATTTTAATCCCTGGACGCTGTGACTCCGAGCTGCTGCGTTTCAGCACAGGGAGCTGATCTCTGTCCTGGTGCAGCCCTCGTTGCAGCAGGATGTGGCCAGCAGCTTGGCTGCCTCACGCTTGCTGAGCACAGGAACTCTGCTGGTGTTTTGCAAGTCTTGCTGAGCTTTGACGTCCTGGGGTTCTTCTCTGTGGATCCCCAGCCTGGGCTCTGGGCGTGGTGAGAAGTCAGCATCACCCTCGTCCTCGTGTGGGAAATGCTGGGGGTTTTCACTCTCTGGCACAGGAAAATGAGAAGTTAAAAGTCGTGGGAAGATGAGTAATTTATGCTTTTTATCTTTACTAGAAAGACAGACCAAGCTACAGGCAGGGAGCTGAGTGTTGCCCTCTGATAAGAGCACCACATCACGGACTCCTCACTGTGAGGAATAACCGTGGTAAAACTGAGGAGTTCAGGGATTTATGTTGAAAAGTGTCCTGTGGTGCCTTGAGTCTCACACTGATATATTTGCTTCTCCAGGAAAAACTGATTTGGTGTGTCAGAGGCTCTTGACCAGCACGTTGAGCTGGACCTGGGGGGTTCCTGAATTGCAGGTGTTGCATTAAGGCATCAGCTACCCCAGAGTTCTGGTGTTCCCACAGAAATTACAGGTGTAATTTACAGGTGTAAAGGTGTAGCAGTTCTCATTTTTTAAAAGCAAGGCCCTTCAACAGATTTTGGGGAGGGGGTTGCCTGTGCTACCACTTTTGTGTTTGTTTAAAGCTGCTGTTACAAGAACCTTTTCCAAAAATGGAGATGTAGGAAGTGTAGAAAGCCTCTGTTGCTGTCACCTGCCTCCGTTATTTTCTTGTTCCCTATTTATTTTGATCAGAGTACACGTGTCTAGCTGTGCATGTAATGGTTGAATTTTCTGACCATCAAATCAAAATTTTCTGAGTATCAAGAAATGTGCTAGTAAGTATAAATATACACAAAAGCATGTGAATGTGCTTAAATTGCAGAGCAGACATTCAACATGCTTTAATTACAGTGTTTTATAAAGTTTCTGGTTTCTAGTGGGGAAAATGGAGACCACAGCAAGACACTTGCACTGACTTCAGAAAAATTTGTCACTGAAATGCAATGGCAGATTTTCAGTGATAGCCTTGCCTTGGATCCTGTTCCTCAGGTGAGTTTGGAAAGTCTTGGTCTGAATTATTTTTCTTTAGCAAAACAGCCCATGTGAAGGTGCTTAAATTGCAGAGCAGATATTCAACAAGCTTTAATTAGAAAGTTATATCAAGTTTCTGGTTTCTAGTGGGGAAAGTGAAGACTACAGCAAAACACTTGCACTGCCTTTAGTGAAACTTGTCACTGAAGTTAGATGGCAGAGAGATTTTTCAGCCTTGCCTTGGATCCTGTTCCTCAGGTGAGCTTAGGAAGTCTTAGAAATCTGAATTATTTTTCTTCAGCAAAGCAGCGCAGGAAGCTGAGCCAGACAAGCTGCAAGGAGAGGGAGCAGAGCACAGCCTGTGCTGGGGGGCTGGAGCTGCAGGGATTGAGGGGAGCAGGGGATGTGCTGTCCCCAGCCCCTGGGATGCCTTAGAATTCTCTGGGATCCTGTGGGATGGG